GGAGGAGTTCAGGGAAGAAGAGTGTGACAGACGGACGGACGGACATGAGTAACAACAATATACCCGAACTTTCTTTAGAAAGTGCGGGTATAATTATACAGAATAAGGCATAAAGGTATTGTGGTATATATTAAATTAAGAACATAAATTATCTCAGTATGCTGATGACAATTTTCTTGCTCTAGATGGTTCACAAAAATCCGTTTTTGCTTCTCTTGATATCATTGATTTTTATTCAAAACTTTCATGATTGAAAATTAACATATCAAAAAATAAAATAGTGTGGATTAGATCTAAAAGTATTCAAAAGAAGTTTTCCATTACACAAGGTGGAAACTAGAATGGGGAACTATAACTTTCAAAATACTAAGAATTCAGTTCTCAGTTCATCTTAAACAAGAGGCCCACGGGCCTTATAGGTCACCTGAGTATTGTGTAACACCTTTCAAACATAACTTTGGTTCGTGTTTTAAACCAAAGGCCATGAAATTCACAATTCACAATTTTGAAAGAGGCACTATTGCTTATCATTATTATAAACTTTACAGCATGCTTACTCTATTTACTCTATTTACTTAATACCCAAAAAATTGAATGGAGTATAAACAAAGAGAAAATGCATTTCCACTTTATAACCAGTTTTGTACCTCACCCAAAAGAACCACTGACCCTGGGGCCACTTATTTCAAAATTTTATCATAAAAAGGTTGATTAATACCAAAGAGCAGATTTCAAAGCATAAATTTAATTTCAGACTATGTAACACCCCCCCCCCCCGACCGTGGGGGGGGGGGGCATAAACCATTTTGCTAGATGCACCTTTTTTCATCAGAAATATATATACTTGGATCATTGGCATAAAACCCAGGAGCAAAGGAAAAGATATTCAAAGAATTAATATATTTTCACTATATAATCAATATAGGGCCCCGCCCTAACACCAGAACCCTTGACTCTGGGGCCATAAAATTAACAATTTTTGGTAGAGGCACTCTGATTCATCATAACTATGTACATAGTTGGTTTATTTAATACCTAGGAGCAGAGAAGAAGATTTTCAAAGAATACATGCATTCGCACTATATAATCAATATAGGGCCCCGCCCTAACACCAGAACCCCTGACCCTGGGGCCATAAATTTCACAATTTTGGTAGAGGCACTCTTGCATATCATAACTATGTACTTAGTTGGTTTATTTAATACCTAAGAGCAGAGAAGAAAATTTTCAAAGAAATAATGGATTTTCAATATACAATCAATAAAGAGCCCCATCCAAACACCAGAACCCCTGACCCTGGGGCCATAAATTTCACAATTTTGGTAGAAGCACTCTTGCTCATCATAACTATGTACTTAGTTGGTTTGTTTAATACCCAGGAGCAGAGAAGAAGATTTTCAAAGAAATAATGCATTTTCACTGTATAATCAATATAGGGCCCTGCCCTAACACCAGAACCCTTGACCCTGGGGCCATAGAATTCACAATTTTGGTAGAGGCACTCTTGCTCATCATAACTATGTACTTAGTTGGTTTATTTCATACTCAGGAGCAGAAAATAAGATTTTCAAAGAAATAAGGCATTTTCACTATATACATTTTAGCCCCGCCCTAGCACTCGAACCCCTGACCATGGGGCCATGAATTTCACAACTTTGGTAGAGGCACTCTTGCTCATCATAACTATGTACTTAGTTGGTTTGTTTAATACCCAGGAGCAGAGAAGGAGATTTTCAAAGAAATAATGCATTTTCACTGTATAATCAATATAAGGCCCCGCCCTAACACCAGAACCCTTTACCCTGGGGCCATAAAATTCACAATATTTGGTAGAGGCACTCTTATTCATCATAACTATGTACATAGTTGGTTTATTTAATACCCAGGAGCAGAAAATAAGATTTTCAAAGAAATAAGGCATTTTCACTATATACAATTTTAGCCCCGCCCTAGCACTAGAACCACTGACCCTGGGGCCATGAATTTCACAACTTTGGTAGAGGACTCTATGCTGATTACAATCATGCATTCAGTTTGACTGCTTGATGTCCAGGAATAAAGAAGAAGATTTTTAGAGATTTCATTTATTTTAGTGGTTTTTGCCCCACCCCTCAGGCCCCAGGGGGGCAGGGACCATGAATTTCACAACTTTTGTTCCCCTTCACCCATAGATGCTTTGTGCCAAATTTGGTTGAATTTGAATGAGTGGTTTCAGAGAAGAAGCTGAAAATGTTCAAATGTTAACGCACGACGGACGACGCACGACGACGGACGCCAACGGATAGCAATAGGTCACCTGAGTTTACTCAGGTGACCTAACAAATATTTGATATCAATTATGACTCACAACTACCTTAAATAAGAGTTTTGATTAAAAAATGAAAACGAAGAATCCTAATTCCAATTGGTCGTATAACTGTTGTTAAAGACTAGTATCCTATCAAAGCTTAATCATTTATTTATTTCTTTGCCATCTCCTAGAAACCAGTTTTCAGTTGATTTGCAAAAAGTTATTTTTGAATTTATATGGAAGTCCAAATCATATAAGATAAAGCGATCCCTTGTCACACAAGACTATCTTTCTGAAGGTTTAAAAATGGTTGATGTGAATAATTTTATAATTGCTTTAAAATCTTTTTGAATGAAAAGGTTAACTCAAAAACAAAAGCCACGGATAGTTGTTTTGCATTGAATCGAAAAGATGTTATTGAGAAGTTATTTCATTTTTGAGATCTGTTTATTTTAGAGCATTTACTTCCGAAAAACAATGCTTTCTGGCAAGATGTATTTAAATCATGGCTGGAGGTCATGAAGTGTTTAAATAATTGTAAATGTGTCAAAACTCTTTTTTTTAATATCCCAATGTGGTTCAATTCTAATATCTTGGTTGGCAAACGGTCTGTTTTTATAAAAAAAAAATTGGTATGAGTATGGTATCAGAGTAATTGGAGATTTTGTAGATAGCGAAGAAAAATTTTATGCTTTGATTCTTTACAAAAAAAAATTGCCTCTAACAAACAAATGCAAATAAGCAGATTATGCAATATAATATGTTCTTACTGTAGTATCAACATATTTGAAATGTATGTCTATTGACAAATCCTTATCCACAAAATCTTTCAATACAGATATGCCCTTTTTTATGAATTGTTGTTACAGTCAGAAAAATACAACACAAATTGTGTTAAACCTACATCTACATCAAACTGGATTTACATTTTGAGTATCTATGGGCAATGTAATTTTGAAAAACATGATGTTTTTAAAGTTTGCTTTAAGGTAACAAGTGATACAGCTGTTCGATGGCTGCTGTTTAGAATATATACTGCATAGGATTCTTCCTGTAGGTTGCTATCTTAAAAAGATTAATATTAAAACTACTGATTTTTGTACCTTTTGTAAGAATGAAAGTGAAACAATCCAACATGTATTTTTATTTTGTGATAATATTTGGCATTGTGGAGTAGTCTTATCCACATATATATAGAACTTAACTTCAAAAAGGGTCGGATTTAACATTCATAATGTTATATTAGTAGAGATTCCTGTAAATTTTATTATACTATAACTAAACAATATATCTTTACTTGTTTGATGCAGAAGAAAATGCCAAATCTCACTGCACTCATATGTCATCTAAGAATCAAATATAATATTGAAAAATTTGTTTCAATCCAAAAGAATAAAATTGTGTATTTTAATTTCATATGGTCTACATGGAAACCTGTTTTTGATGAGTGGCAGTTCAAATGTCATTCACTATTGTTATTGTCTTCTCTTTTTTTCTTTTTATCTCTCTTTTTTATCCTCATATTGATAAAAGAATATACCCCGGTATGTATTTAATAATTCGCATAATTTATGCACAATGTTATAAGGTGTTGGAGGAAATAGTGACAAACTGAATTTACATGTATTCATCTTTTTTTTTTATCTCTCTTAATATTATCTATAGAAGGATAGTGGATAGTGTGAAAGGGTGAGTGTGTGTGTAGGGCATAAATGTAAATATGTTCAGATATCTCTTTGTTTATTATGAGAAAAAATATAAATTAAAATAAAGGAGAGGAAAATGCAAATAATTGGAATTTTTCTAACTAAAGTCCAAGGACATAACTCTGTCAAAAATGGCCCAATGGTACCCAAAACAGAATTTGATCTAGATATTCATTTGATAAGTCTATATGCTAAACTTCATTTCAGTAGGTGCAACGCTTGCAACGAAAATGAATGGAAACTGCGAATAATTGAATTTTTTCTAAGTCCAAGTGGCATAACTCTGTCAAAAATAGCGCAATTGTACCCAAAACACAACTAAACCTAGATATTCATCTGATAAATCTGTATACCGAATTTCATCTCAGTATGTACAATGGTTGCAAAGAAAATAAATGGAAACTGCAAATATTTGAAATTTTTCTCAGTCTAAGGGACCTAACTATGTCAAAAATGGTGTGGCCGTACCCAAAACAGAACTTGACCGATATATTAATGTGATATATATGTATACCAAATTTCAGTATGTGCAATGGTTGCGAAGCAAATGAACGAAAACTAAATGGACCGACAGACAGCAGCAAAGCAATATATGCTCTCCCTTCTTCGAAGGGGAGCATAAAAATATTCTTCTCAAGAACAGCAATGCCATTATTGGTAGAGTTATAATTGGTCTTATTTATATCGAAGCATTGCCAGGTATTATAAAAAAACACTCAAATTTGTTCCAATGATATAACGATGTTAGATTAAGCAAAGATGCCCATGGACCCCTTTGTTAAGTGAGTTTCCGTGCAAAAATAAATAATGTAAATATCCGGAGAAGCTATTTACATTATAATCCAACCAGAACTAAGCTATATGCTTTAGATATCGAATTTTGACATCTTTCAATAAAACAAATTTTGATTTAAAGGAGGTTTCTCTTCAAAGCAGTTTTACAAAATTGAATTTTATCTCATGAAAAAGGTAATCCATTTTTTCTTTATTATAAATGTACTTACCTACAATATTTAGCATTTTTCTGTGTTTTTTAATTCTGTCAGTCTCACTCTTATTTAATTTTCCTAGAAGAAAAAAAAAACCTTTAAAGTAAGCAATTCTGCAATTCAAACATTGTTTTATAAAATATTTATTCATAAATTAAATGTCAAACTTTGTCATCTTAATTACGTTTCAGTCCTTGGACCATTTCTCTAGTTTCTGCATCTTCTTCAGCCTGTTTCCTCAGTTCTTCTATGTAATGGCGGTCACGGACAGGGTCCATCGTCTCATGTCTCAAAAAGTCCACCCCTCTCTCAAACTGGTTCCCATTGTTAAGAAAGGAATCAAGGTCCACAACTGCTGATCTGACAGTGGACCAGATCCTGTTGAAATCAGCATTGGAGAGGGCTGGGCTAGAAGAATGTACACATTGATTTCTGGCAATACGGATTCTCTCAATGTTGGCAGAGTGAGTTCGATCTGTGGGGTCTGGATCGTATCCCCAGCCATTGCTGTGTGGTGGTATACCACAAATGTTTCTAAGTAGTATGTACAATAAGGAAATGTCCATATCACCATAGTTTCCTGTATAACTACTACCTCTGGGTAAAATAAGATTCATTTGTTGGGCTGTCAGACGGGGAAGATTACTCCTCTTTTGTTTAATGACGTGTGGGAATGTTGACAGCGGTACATGGTGAAGTAAAACGTCACGTAACTCATCTGTACATGGACCCAGGAGAAGTCGACAGGCTCTACAGGCATTAGACGCGTAAGAGGAAGAGGCCATAGTAATCTTCTAATGCTTTTCTGAAATGTAACAAACAATCCAAAAATTTGATAATAAACAAACAAATTAGAACTATCTTTGTAAAACTACACATTGCTCATGCACTAAGGCAACTAGTAAAATTGCTTAAATTAAAATACTGTTCACTGATTTCAGCCTGTTTGCTAGAGTGCCATACTGCATTTTTACTGACTTGTTAGAATGTTATGTATGAACATGTGTATATTTTTTTTATGTCTTTTGTTTAGTAGAAAAGATAAGACTACATCAATTCAAGAATTAAAATGATGTGTCCAAAAGAACATTTAACTTAGTAGTTGTGTTACTTTATGTACACAGTGACAAACCCGCATGCCATAACCTCAAAATACTTCCTGAATAACAAAAGATTTTTTTTTTCAAAAATACTTTTTTTAAGATTTATAAAATTAACAATTTTTTTACTCGGTGATTTGACCTAATGACCTAAAGTAAGGGTCCTATTATATCCTAGAAACAAAAAGAATCACTACAGGTTGTTGTACAAGTATGATCTTCTAAAGTTATTGCACCATTAATTTATGGAAACTCTGATCACGAAGTTTTGTGTCAGATATTCTTATTTTTTGCTACGTCAAAGTTATGACCAAAGCAAGAATTTCCTCGTGCATTTGTATTTTTTTTTTATTATTTCTAAATTACCTTAGGTAGTTGTCAGATCATTTATTCATTGCAGTCGTGTCTTCAGTAAATATGTTTTCCTAGATCTTGTAGTTATTGATAGATAGAATTTAATAATATTGAACCCGGTAACATTGACAAAGATTACCATAGAGTCAATCTAATTAAAATTAGATGTTAGATCCGCTCGCACACTCGCTAGACTAACATCGTTAGAGTAGCGAGTATGATCTAACATCTAATTTTAATTCGATTGACATAGAGTTGGCTTAGGGCACACTTTTACCTGTCAAAGAAATTATGTACAATGCATCCTTCACAAGCATAATGACAAATCATCCTTTTTATTTTCATAAATAGGTCATCATTTTTATTTTCACTTTCTAATTCTGAAAATACCAATTGAATTGATGTCTCCAAAGTTTTCCTTCCATTTTAAACTCCAGGGTCCAGGGTCCGTAAAATCTGAAAAATTAATATGATTTTTTTTTATTTGGGAAAATCATCATTCTATATAAGGATGTTTCCAGTAAATGAACATGAGAGAATTTCTAAAATAGTTTGGCTAATCAATAGATATTAAAACTATTTTTAATCGATCATATAAACTGCTAGTTGTCAGCGATTTTCAAAATTTGTTTTCCTAAAACGAAAGTAGACTTTAAAACAATATACAATATTCGATTAGCATTGTTATTGGACCTTATCTTATACCTAACGTCATTTTGAATCCTTTTGCTGGCAGTTTATTTGCAAATTTATTAAAACATGTAAGCATTAAATGTGTCTGTACCTTCAAGTGGCTGTGCAGGAAAACGAAAGTTCGCCAATATGCGCATTGTTTAAATTTATTTGTTTTTCTGACACTTAAAATCTTACTTGATATTCTTTAATGTTCTGCCTTTTTCAAATGATGAAATGCAGATATTTGTGGCCTATGTTCCGAGATTAAATCCTAAGACATATCTACTAGAGGTTCATTTTACTTCTCTGGGATTTACACTTTTCAATGCAAGATCGAAGCGGTTGCCAGTGATTTCGGCTCTCGAATAATTCACCCTTTCTTTATATTAATATCAACCCCTTATTAACATATCTACTTTTGTATTCGCATGAGGCAGAACTTTTGCAAAATCTTATGCGTGAAAAGAAGAAAGCACTTGCTGTTGCCTTCAACTCGACATTTAGATATATCGATGTATTGTCAATTAACAATTGTAATTAATTTCCATTCTTTTGTCAATGTGATATATCCTGGTGAGCTTGGAATAAAAAATACCACAGAGTCTGACACATCTGTTTCATACTTGGATATTTTACTTGAAAAAGACGTTAATGGTTATCTAACAACCAAGCTGTATGATAAACGCGATCACTTTAACTTTTCTATCGTCAACGTCCCTTACTTATGCAGCAATATACCTTTATCACCTGCATACGGTGTCTATATACATGTATCTCAGTTAATTTTATACGCAATGGCATGCTCTACGTATGGACAATTTCTAAAACGAGGTAAATTATTAACAAGCAAGTTGATGAAACAAGAATATCAACAGTTTCGTTTAAAGTCATCATTTCGTAAATTCCATGGTCGATAAAATGACCTAGAGAGCAAACACAATTTATCATTGGACACGGATGATGTGAAAATCTTGGTATATTTCACCTTCCTTCACCAAAAGTCATAACTTTGAATTCAAAACATTCAACTTCCGGTTATCTCCGATGCATTCCGAATTTCCTCTGATTATTTTGTATATGCTTATACTTAGCTCAACGATCACCCAGAAGACCAGCGATGAACATGAGTACAACCTTAAATTATCACCTACTCTACTTAATACCACCCTCTAACTTTCATAGAGAATATTTCAATTCAACACCCTACAATTATCTACAACTGGCTCTCTCATGTAAGGGTTAGGAAATCGTCATCAACAGTAATGTCCTATCGCCTTCTACTCACCTTGCTAATGATAGGGGGTATTGAAACAAACCCAGGACCAGTTAAGTATTCATGTGGGGTTTGTGAGAAACCATGCAAGTCAAACCAGAAAGCTGTAGCTTGTGATGAATGTAACCAATGGTTCCATGCAAAGTGCATGGGGATATCAGATGAATCATACCACCAATTAGGAAACAGATCAACCTCCTGGTTCTGTACTAACTGCAATAGTTATAACCACTCATCTATCCAAAGTATATCAGCGAGTCCCTAGTGAATACCAGCGAAGAACTAGGTTTAGAACAAGTAATAACCTGCAAGACCAGAGGAGAGAATATTCTAGACCTACTATTTACTTCCCACCCAACTCTGATAGAAAAAATTAGGAGTTTACCACCCATTGGCAAAGCTGATCACGATGTCATCTTATGTGATGCAGCAGTGGAACCAGTAAGATCAAAACATCTTCGCAGAGAGATCTTCCTATGGAAAAGGGCCAATATGGATGCCATCAGAGAAGAAATAAAGAACAGCTATAAGGAATATGATAACATCATGGACATCAATCTAATATGGACCAAGTTCAAGGGTATGATCAATGATTTGATGAGGAAACATGTACCAACTAAGTTTACTAGATCCAAGCCATCACATCCATGGATTAATACCCACCTAAACAGGCTAACAAGGAGGAAGAATAGAGCACACCAAAAAGCAAGAAGGACCAAAAACAACAGGGACAGAAATCGATACCACAAATTAAAAACAGCATGCCAGCGAGAGATACGACTCGCAAGGGAAAAATACTTACAAGAAGTGATATGTGAGGATTCAAAGAGATTCTGGTCCTACATTAAACATCAAAAACAGGACTCCAGCGGCGTGTCTCCACTCAAGGGCCCCGATGGTCTGCTCCACAGTGACACAGTGTCCAAAGCAGAAATCCTAAACAACCAATTCCATTCGGTTTACACAAAGGAAGACCTTACAGATATGCCATCTAAAGGAGACAGCCCACACCCTACTATGAACAACATCCGCATAGGAAGTAATGGTGTATGTAAGCTCCTGAAGGGCCTAAATATACATAAAGCGACAGGACCAGATGCAATTCCATCAAGATTCCTCCATGACTTTGCAACAGAACTAACCCCAATCATGACAAAATTGTTCCAACTTTCACTTGATATCGGAAAAGTGCCATACGACTGGAGAGAAGCATCTATAGTCCCCATATTTAAGAAAGGAGAGAGACATTTAGCTTCAAACTACCGCCCAGTCTCCTTAACTTCCATATCGTGCAAGTTGTTAGAACATATTGTACACAGCCAAATCATGGATCACTACGACAGTAACCATATACTGGCAGATCAGCAACACGGTTTTAGATCAAGACGATCATGCGAGTCGCAGCTATTGATTACAGTGGACGAGGTGGCCAAGTCACTGGCCCTTGGAGAGCAAGTAGATATAGTGATGTTGGATTTCTCCAAGGCATTTGACAAAGTTCCACAAAGCGCCTTCTACACAAACTGCACTTTTATGGCGTCAGAGGTAACACGTGGAACTGGATCAAGGATTTCCTGGCGAAACGGACACAGCGAGTCACATTAGAGGGTCAGTCCTCTACCAGAGCTGATGTCATCTCCGGGGTTCCCCAGGGGACTGTGATGGGACTGTTACTATTTCTCACCTTTATCAATGACTTGCCGGAGCATACATCATCAGACGCAAGATTATTTGCTGACGATTGCCTGCTTTATCGAAGAATTAACTCTAGAGCAGATGCCGAACAGCTCCAAAAAGATCTGAAGTCACTAGAGAAATGGGAACGAGAATGGCAAATGGAATTCCACCCCCAGAAATGCACAGTCATCCATGTCTCCAGGAAACAGCGTCCCATAACCAACAAATACCTCCTCCATGGCCACACTCTAGAGTCAGTCAGCAGTGGAAAGTATCTAGGCGTAACATTAAACAATAAGATGAACTGGATGGAACACATATCCAATATCCGAGCCAAATCAAGCCAGACCCTAGGTTTTCTCCGTCGCAACCTACAGGGATGTAGAGCCGACATTAAATCTGCTGCTTACAGTACAATCGTCAGGCCCACCCTGGAGTATGCAGCGACTGTTTGGGACCCATATCAGCAAACCCAAATACAAATGTTGGAGAGTGTCCAGAGAAGAGCAGCAAGGTTTGTTAAGGGCAACTATTATGATAGAACACCTATGATGAAGGATCTACAATGGGAGCCCCTTGAAACACGCCGACTAAGATCACGGCTCATCATGATGTATAAGATCAGCAATGACCTCATGGATATCCCAGCAACATCGTACTTAACACCAGGGGATACTCGGACAAGGGGCAGCAAATACCGTCAGCCACCAACATACAAAGACGTGTACAAGTTCTCCTTCTTCCCAAGGACCATCAGGGACTGGAACAGCCTGCCAGATCATGTTAAAGAAGCCAGTACCATCGACGGCTTCAAGAAGCAGCTAACCAACACCATAGCTGCTTCCTATCACCCTTAAGTGACATGCAGAACATTGTTTTTAACCGACTTTTAATTGTAAATAAGAGGCTTTTAGCTGTGTTCGACGTGCTATTACACTCGATATCGAGGTCAGCACTGGACATGAAGAAGAAATGCTGACTGACGTTTTTCATACTATTGTTAGTTCATTATTTACGAGGGGCGATCAGAAAATAATTCAAGTAATGTTATTCCATAGATATTTTTCGTAGATGACCAAAACTGATGTCACACACGGGTAGATACATTCATTACCTGTGTCTGTTTAAAATTTCTTATCGTTTTATTCCTTATTTCAAAAGTTACATACAAAAGAAGAAGGGGTAGTCGTACACGCTGACCATTTTCTGCAAGTGATATGAAATCTGCGGTGAAGGCTGAAATAAGAACCTATATAAAAGTGAGAGGCATTCTTGATATACCTGCAAAAATGATTTTGAATGAGATTTGTCAGATTTATGGACATTCTGCAATTTCGTTAAGCACAGTTTGTCGTTGGTTAAAAAAGATTAAGAATGGCGTTGACGTCGTTAAAGATTCTTCGAGAACAGGGCGACCAAAGACAGCTGTTCCTGATGGAAACGTGGCTGCAGTTTAGAAAATGGTAGAGGAAGATGGTAGATATACTCTTAATTGGAACGTTTGGTCAGAATTTAAATTTTTATATATAAAACTGTATCTCTTATATGAAAAGAAAAGCTGCATCTAACAACACTGCACTGCTGATAACAGCAGTTAAATTGGATTTTAATAGCTTAATTGGAGCAGCATGGGGAAAACCTTATCATGGCCGCTGCTGACGTAGAGCAGACAGATTAAATGCCAGCTAGATGGCTAGAGTCAATGTGTTTATGACTGCAGAAAAATAAAATTCCTTCTTTCAGAAATAAGCTAATTTAAGCAATTGTTAATTTATAGGAATCAAATTAACATCCCTTTTGACACATTAGAACTTTAAAAAGTTTTAATTAAAATCATGTATAATAATACAACCTTTGCAGCTAAGTGTTTAATTAAAGTTAAATCCGACCAGTTTATGGCTTTTTATTATTAATTCCTTCTTTTATTTTCCTGAATTCTGAAACACTAGAAGCTTAGGAATGTGAAATTATATTTACTATAATATATTCAGATCCAAAATTAAACTGCACACACTTAATTGGCACATTTTCACAACTTGATTCTGACAAGATAGTGTTTACACTTAGAGCCAAATGGCCTGCAATACGTCATAAAAGCGAGGATTGTGGGAAATATTTAGCAAGCGCGATAACTTTATCTCATCAACATGGCAGCCTCCAGCAGCCAAATAACTCATAACTTTGATGTTTATTACTTTATAATTAAGTTAAAACAAATGGCAGTAACAGGTAAAATTCATTATTTGACCATTCAATGAATTTTAAATATTTTTTCAGACCCAACGTTTCCTTTAAAATATTGCTAGTGTTGTTGGTATCTCATAGCAAAGGTACATGAAATTTTGAAAAAACCTCTATTTTTAAACGTAAACTTAGTGTGCAACGATGGATACCGCATCTCTTGAACCAGAACAAAAGACAACACTTTATC